AAACATTACTATTATTTCATATTTCTGATGAAGGAATAAATATGTCCATAAATATCATAAACTTCATCTGACTATTAAATGAGCTAAATGTCACTTTCGTATAAAAATCAATAAATTTGTATTCATGTCCCAAATGACATTAAAATAATGATTAATGATTGTAAATTGATTCAGATCGTTGAAGTGTTTCTTTTTCGTCAACTTAAAGTAGATTCGATTTCAAGGAGGAGTTCTTTCCGCAATTTAAAATTTCAATAACCTTTGAAATATGTATTACGTGACCGCGTTCGGGTCGAACTTTGGGGTAAGGGGAGGGGGAAAGACCGATTCTCGTGATTCCGAACACACGCGCTGCCTAAATATAGGAGGAGATAAGGGAACCTTTTGGAACCTTGCGCTTTCGATGAAGCCGTGACCTAGAAAAGGTCATTGAAATACCCCGCAAACGTTTTTATCGTAATCACTCAAAAAGGGCATCTTCGTCGTATTTTTAAACAGTTATTTGTTCTTTCAATACAATAAATCCCTGGCGCTCCCAAAAAATTGTTTGACTAACTCACAGAAAATATTTATAACGTTATCGTACAAAGAACGTTGAAAAGTGCGATCAAAGCGATCGTTTGTAAAACTACGGAAACTGAAGATTTTTGTATGTGTGTGTGAGGACTGTATGGTGGGCGAAAAGTAACGTCGAAGGGCGGCCGATTCGTTCGATACGATCAAGGCCCCCCACCAACCTTAGGCTTGAAAACGTGAATGTGAAAAGGGTCGGTTCAAAACCTATTAATAGAGTCATGCATGCATGAGGCTCCTACTCAAAACACGATAACGCCAACGCACACACACAATAAATTCGTTGTTTAGATAACATCAGAGATGGCATTATAGATTTTATAACTTTGTTATTATATATATGGTAAAACCTCGATATAACGGACAAAATACGTTGTCAGACGCACGAAACTTTCTAGTTTTAGGGCCAGTGTTAGTTCTAGTTATAATTTAGTGCTAAATTGTTGTATATTATACAATAATAAGAGTTTTATTGTTTTCTTTACATTTACAATTTTCCCTTTCCTAATATAATACATTCTAATATATACAGTGTGACCCATTAGAAAGAGGAGGACCCTCATAAAATCTGTATTTATTACCCGATTTCGACAATTTCTTTTTTGAATTGTAGAGCGTAAGAAACTGTACACCTTAGGACAAAGAGTCATATATTTTTGAAAAAAACAAAGCCCAACAATCCAACTTTTAAGGGCAAAAAAAGAACAAAACAAAATGAGAAAATTTTTAAAAAAAAACCGAAGAAACCACTACATTAAACGCCATTTGAAATGGGCATATACCAAATTTCATCAAAAATGGTTACAAATTAACACCGTTACAGATAATTAAAAAATATAACTTTTTATCAATTAATTTCATCTGTAACAAATATAAATAGTTTTTGTATTATTGTCTGCATTTAATTACCTTTTTTGGCATGATTTACTAGATCAGATCAAATAAATTCATAAAAAATGATATTTTTCAATTATTTGTAAGTAACGGTTTTAATTTCTTACCATTTGTGTACTCAGATGTTTTGTAAAAAATTTCCTAATATGATTTCTTCATGTTTAGCACCTAAAAAGTGAAATAGTAGTCCTTGGTTTTTCTAAGAAAAATATGACTCTTTGTCCAAAGGTACAGCTTTTTATGGTCTACAATACAATTCTCGTATCTGTGACCTTCTTTCCTGCCTCTGTATGCCCCTGTCCCTATCTCTGAGTTCTCTCCACATTTCACCTCTTTCCGTTCTTCTGTTTTCGATCCCAGTTAGTGAGTAACCCACTCTTCCATAATATCCTTCCCTGTCTCTTTGCCCATAGATCAGCCTCCTCTCCTTAATTTCCTTCCTGCACTCTCCCAGGATCCTGCAATGCGGTCTTGCTTCTATCAATTTCTCATACTTCACTGCTCTTCTCCCAGCCTCCACCCTTACTGCATCCACCTTAACCTCCTCCCTCACTACATTCTCCGGAATCTCCCTTGCTAACCCTAGTACCCATCTCCAATACCGTGTTTGTATATCCTCCAGCAAACCTTGTTCTCTCTATCCCCATACTTCTGTGCCGTACCTCATTGTGCTCCTTACCAAGCCATCAAACAACCTGTCTCTTTCCCACGTCCCTCCCAAAAGTTCTTTCCCCCCATCCCCAAACCTGTCCCATCACATCATGTCTCTATCTCTCATCCCTGTCACCTCCATTCCTCGTTCTTTCTTCTCCCCCCTTTGCAGAACTTCATTATCTTTGTTTTCTCGACGTTTACCTCTAACCCCTTCTCCTTAAAATATCTTTCCATCATCTCCTTCATCTCTACCGCGTCTCTAGCCACGACCACCAAATCGTCCGCATACGCCAAGGCGTGCACCTCTGTTCCTCCTATCACCACCCCACCCAATTGCCCCTTCACAAGTCTCTTTTCCAACTCCGCCATATATATTGCAAATAGTGTGGGACTAAGCGGACACCCCTGTCTCAATCCCTTTGTCGTTCAGAATACCTCACTTAACTCTTCACCCACTTTAACCTTGGCCATCGTCTCCCTGTACATTTCCTTCACCCTCCCTATCAGTTCTTCTGTGATACCTCTCCTCCTCATTTCCTCCCACAACTTCTCTCTATCCACGTTATCGAATGCAGCCTTCAGGTCAATAAACAATCCATACAGCTTTCCTCCCTTCTTGTTCAACTCCCTATCAACCAGGTGTTTCAGAATGCATATATTGTCAATTGCCCCTCTTCCCTTCCTGAATCCCGCCTGCCCATCCGGCAACAATTCCCCCCTCTCCATTTCCTCTTCCAACCTCCCCAGCAGTATCTTTGCATAAATTTTGAATGTTGCGTCCAACAGGGTGATTCCTCTATAATTCCTCATCCTCCACCTGTCCGGAACCCTCTCCCCCATCCATACGTCGTTTATTACCTTCCATAGCTTCTTCTTCATTGTCTCCGTCGCCTCCAACCATGCCTCATTCTGGAGCTCATCCTCTCCTGGCGCCCTTCCCCTCTTCAATCCCCTCAACACTGCCTCCATTTCTTCCAGTGTTATCTCTTGTCCTCCTTGCACCCCTCGCTCTCCCTCTCCCAGTCTTCTCTCTTCCACGCCTCCCAACAATCCCATGAAGTAGGTTCTCCATTCAGTCATTTGTATATCTCTGCTGACTTCCTCTCTTCCCTTCCTCGTCCTCTTTAAGTATCTCCATACTTAATCTCCTTAATCCTTAATCTTCTCAGCCTCCCTTTCCTTCAGCTCCCTCTTCTTTTTCTTACATTCTTCTTTGTATTTTCTCCTGGCCTCTATATATCTATCTATCTCTACCTCCCCTCTCTGCCACTGTCTCAATTTCATTTGCACTCCTTATCCCACCACTCGTTTCTTCCCAGTCTAATCCCCCGTCGACCACTTTCTTTCTTCAACGTCGTAAATTAGTTCATTCAACCCGTCGGTCCCCTCCACCCTTTCACCCTAACTTGCCAACTTTGACCTATAATGTTCTATCCCCTCTTTCGACCAATCTACCCTAATGTATTTTCCACCATGTTCCATTATCTTTCTGTTCCTTCTTCCCCTCGATCCCTTTATGCACGCTTCTAGAGGCTGGTGATCGACTCTACCAACGCCCCAACCCTAAATGTTTCTATCCTCTCCCACATTCCTTGGTCCACTACCACATAATCTATCATGGACGCCCCCCTTGCACCCGTATAGGTATGCACCCGTATAGGTACCCTTCATCTCCTTCCTCCATATTCCCATTCAGTATCTCCCACCCCCTCCCCTCTACCCACCGCAGCATCTCCCTTCCTTCTCCATTCAGACTCTTATCCTTGGACCGTCGCCCTCTTCCTCGTCTCCCATCTCCCCTCTTCCCCCTTCTTCCCCTATTCTTGCATTAAAGTCCCCTCTTAAAGCCCCTTCTCTCCCTCTAGCTTGATTTGCCTTTTTACCATTCCCTTCTGCCTGCATCTCCTCTCCGTCTTACTCTCCTCCGTAATTCCCCTCGCTATTCCTGTTATAATACACCCGCACGCTCTTCCTCTCTTACTTCTCCTCTCTGCAAACACGCAATCCCATCTATACCCTTCTGGCAACTTTCTCTCAATCTTTGCCCACCCTCCTTCATCAACCCAGGTCTCCACCATACAAATCACCTCAAATCCCTTCAAATATTCCCAGAACTGCCTTCCCTTCCCTTTGGGGATTCGTAATCCCCGCTACATTCCAGAACACCATTTTCAACCCCTCGCTCTTCTCTGGCTTCTCCCCTCCGCCATCTAGTTTTTTGGTAAAGACCCTTTCTGCCCTCTCCTCATTTCCTCATAATTAATACTTCTCTTCGCCAACTCCGCCGCTATCTGGTATTCCTCACAGTTTCTATCCCTCGTTTCGTGTGTGTCATCCTTCCCCCTGGCTTTACAGTTTGCACATACTTCTCACGTCTCTCTCTCCCTATTCCTACAGTTCTTAAACTCGTGGCCCTTTTCCGCACAATACCCACATACCATTTCCGATTTGTTGTATATTATACAACAATCCACAATTTTTCATTGAACTACAACTAGAACCAATACTAAACCTAGAACTAGAAACATTCAGATTTAACCATGGTAAAAGACGTTAGTCGAAAGTGTTAGTTGTTATTTAGTGCTAGATTGTTGTATATTTCTATTAAACTAAATGTAGAACTAACACTAGACCTAGAACTAGAAACATTCGGGTTTAGCCGTCTTAAGAGACGTAGGCCTAAACCCGAATGTTTCTAGTTCTAGTTCTAGTGTTAGTTCTAATGCTAGTGTTAGTTCTTGTTTATTTTGTATTAATCCGTTATATCGAGGTTTTACTGTATAGTATACGAAATAAATATTTTAGCTATGTTACAAGAAATTCTTATAAATCTATACATTTCGAAACCAACATTTATATGCATCTATTTCTTTTTATAGACGTCTAAAAGCATTTCGATCAACTTCTCAATCTTACCTCGAAGATGTCAACTCATTACAAACTGATATATTTCAACGCGAGGGGTCGAGCGGAACATATAAGATTTATTTTCGCTTATGCTGGAGTTCCATATGAAGACGAGCGAGTCTCCAGGGAAAAATGGCCGGATTATAAAAAAAGTAAGTTTTGTTTTAGATAAGAGAAAATTTGATTAAGTTATTTATTACTTTATATTAAGGATTGGTACGATTCTAATTGGGTTTGAAATTGTGCGAGTGGTTTGATGGTTTTCGTTCTATTGTCTTTCTCTCGTTTGGAAACGGCAAATCCTCCGGGGGATTTTCTGGATTTATACAATTTATGTCGGAAAATTTGAGATTTCCAAAGTTGAATTTGAGATTATATTCACGTTTTAGTATTGATTCCGAATCGAACAGCGTTAAAAAATTTATCCGGTAACTCCTTCGAGCTGTTCATCAATAATTCGAAACGTTTTTATTCTGGAAAAATGAAACTTTTCCACCTTAATGTTGTGCAACGCTTTTAATTTATTTATGTGCTCGGGAAAAGAGTTTATGAAAGTTTTTCCATCTAAAAGTGGGATACGTTTTGATGGAGATGCAAATTCTTAACTCCAAACCTAATGAAATATTCATAGTAATTTGTATTCCCTAATTGTCACGCACCAATTATTCCAAGTACCAAGTCGAGCTTTATATCTATTTTAGAAAATCGTTTAAGACCTCTACATTGCAACTTCCAACTTTCCACAGTCTACAATGGAACTGTACGACATGAAATTTGCATCTAAATACGATCGGAATTATCATTATCACGTTCGCGTTCCAATCTCAATTTCTCACATAGTTTCAAGTTACTTACTTCCTCTAACAGTATAACTCTTACTGGGAATAATGATAATAATTTTCAAGTTCGACGAACAACGATAATATCATCACAACTAGATAGAACGTGTAGTTTCTAACAAAGTTAATAGAAAATTTTTGTTTACTCTTGTAGGAACTCCCTTTGGAACGTTACCTGTTTTGGAAATTGATGGAAAACCGATTGCGCAAAGTAATGCTATCGCTAGATATTTAGCATCTAAATATGATTTACTTGGAAAAAATGAATGGGAAACTTTGCAGTGTGATGTTTTAGTTGATGCTTTAGGGGATCTTAAACAAGGTAAAAAAACAGAAACACAAAAATAGAAACATAACTAAAATTATCTTAACATGTGCATATTTAGTGGATAACAAGTTTTGAGGGTTGAATCTCGATTTTAATCTCATAATTTTGTTTGAAGTCGACACTAGAAATTTGGATTTTAGATTAGTGTTCATTTGAACCTCAAATGATCTTAACACCAAGTGTTGCAAGTAGCAAATAGGGTTTTGTTACATCTCGAGACATGAAGTTCACGAATATAACCTTGAAACTAAGATGTTCGATTTTCAAGACATGAGTTATTAATTCTAAAAGAAACAAACCTTTAGACTATATTTAGATATTTTGTTCCATGTCACGACTAAATCGAATAATATAACTATACTAAATCTGGTAATTTTCATCTAAGTGAAAAACAAAATTCTGAAAATTAATCTAGATTTCAAGTCTTATGATCTTGTTTAACATTGACGCGTGTTTGTACTTAAAGTACCTTTTTGCCGCAAACCCACAAAGAGATGTCGTTAAGATACGTGTTAAAATTTTATTGCTACTTCTAATGTTGCATTTTAATATTTGATATCTCCACAGGACTCAAGTTTGAAAATTTTGTTCGAAGTGGATAAGCTGAGATTCTGGAAAATGTCGAGACTTGGAATGAGTTAAAAATTTGTATCAAATGGATACTAGACAAAAAAACGAAAGAAACAAAATTCTCTACCTCGATCATTTTGTCGTTTAAAGGTTTTAATTGCAATGTCTCGGCAGCAAGCGACCTCAGCTGTTTGTCAGACAAGGTTTCAATGAATAACCTTCACCACTTTAGAGAATGAAGTCGCTTGCAGCTGAGCTCTACCACTACCATGTCTTGGCGCAAAACGTTATAAATGAAAAATAAGCTTCTGCAATTCTTGAAATAATCTTAGTCGGAAGTACTTGAGTTTAAAGGCTTGTTGTGCTTGTTGATGCAAATCTTTAATCACATATCTTGTTCTGAAAGAAATATCCAAATTAAAACTGGAAATATTTTACAAACAGAAAATATGATTGTTGGATGTTTCTTGACATCAACTTAGACTTAGACATTTATGTCTCAAGTGGAAACTGGCCCTGTTTTAATATAATACTAAAAGTAGAAATCATGCTTTGTGCTACTTCAAAAACCATATTAATATTTACTATTTCATCAGCATCTAGATAAGTACCAAGACTACTACTAAGTTTGAAAATGTAATAGTTGGATAATATTTAAATAAATATCCTTTACTATCACATTACTAATCCCATCCACAATCAAATCAAACCCAACCAAAACTCCCCAACCTAAACCAAACCCATCTAATCCAGAACCAACCCAGAAATGAAACACGTGTATAGGATAGCTCAATAATTAAAAGAAGCAATGTAGGGGAGAGAAGATTAGTTCGGAAGTACATCTATTGAAATATTCAGTATGTTGTCGATTCTGTTTTAACTGCTGAACTTAATTGAGTTCACTTGAAAATAAAATGACCTTGCAACTAAATATTCTAAATGATTTATAGGACTTGAACAAGTCTGGAAACATGAATTGCGTGTTGAAAACTCGATGTTTTGTCAAAATTTGACAAAAGTCTAAAATGGTGTTCAAATCCAACTCAAGACTTAGGTTGGCAATGGTTTAGTCTCTATTATCTTGGCAATCTTCAATCAAATATCGGTGCTAAGACTTTGACAATTAGATGCTGACAAATTTCGGGCATAAATATCGACTTGATATCTCGATATTTTATTTCAAGTAAACCGAAGATATTTCAGATTTAAGAGAGTGTCTTTTGAAATTAAATCCAATGTAAAATCCATCCTAACACTTCCCAGCACAAATATTATAGTCTCCAATTAGCCATTATTTCTAAAAATAAGTGTAAGACTAAGACTGGAGATTTTGTTTTAAGCGCAGAATCAGATACTAGCTCAAGACAGCATATGTGTGCTCCAGAACATTTTAGTCCTCATTAATTTGAGAATTCTCAATCAGATATTAAGACTAAAACTAGCACTATTCTTCTAAATGAATAACTTTTGATAAATCTTAGGACATGAATCTAAATTTTGTCCCAAATAGACAATAGGCATTTATCTCTTGGCTTGGAAATATTGCAAGTGGAAATGAGGGTTCTGACAAGCGTCAATATCCAAATTTCCATCTGAAGAATTACCAATATAAATATTGTAGTCTCCAATATTTCGATATTCCTGAAAATAATTGCAGGTTTAAAACTGTAGATATTCCTTTGGGTGGAGAATTAGATACGACAAGCCTTGGGACATGATTCTGGGTTTGTAATCTCGCTACTTTGTACCAAGTGAGCAACAGACGTTTAACTTTGTGTATTCTTAAGACAAAAATGATTTTAAGATACATCACAAGCTTTGGCTTAATCTCGATTTGAAGCAACTAATAACAAGTCTCAAAAGTTAGATCTTGACTTAATATCTTAGATTTTGTCTTAATATCTATAGGAGGTATTTGCATTACTTAAACTATAAGAATTTCGAGATTCACCTCAAAACATGTTTTACTATTCGATAAAGTCACTACAAAATTTCAGTTTTAAAATCCTTAATTATTCCAAAACAATTCTAAAGATATTTTTTCCCCAATTGAAAACAAAACATACACAAAATTTCAACCACTCAAAATTTTAGTACTGTGGCAATTAAGATCAGAAGAAGATCCAATAAAACGTGAAGAACGTAAAGTAAAATTAATGATGGAAACAATTCCATTTTACCTATCAAAATTTGAGAGTATCGTCGCAAAAAATAATGGTTATTCAGTTGGAGATGGCGTAAGCCCTTTATTTTAATTGATAATTAAAACTTTAAAATGTAACATAAACATTAATTTTCGTTACAGATTACTTGGTGTGACTTTGTATTCGCGGTATCTCTAGAAAGTTTCGAGTTAATCTTCGGTAAAGCTTCATTGGAACGTTATCCTCACCTAAAAGCTTTAAAAGATATGGTCTACGCCCTACCTGCCATCGCGGAATGGGTGAACAAACGTCCGTACACGGATTCCTAAACACAATGCGAAGCACTTCGAAAACGTTTTCGCTCGGAGACTGTCGAAAATATAACGTGTTTGTTCGTTTTATTTCGAAACAACCCTGGAGTATATGGGATTTCTTCCTGTATTTCCAATGTTTACAGACCCAAAAGAGGAATGTCGCTGCTATATTTTTGATAGTCCAACAAAATTTATTTGTACATAATACAATTTAAAGGTAATGTTTCAAGAAAAACATATAATGAATGTTATTGGTAGAGGAAAATAATGTTGTTATTGGCGATGTTGTGTAGATAGTTGTATAATAAGTATAAAATATAAATAAAGAGGAATTAAAAGATGAAATTATTTTTTTTATTTAATTTGGTTTCCGATACAAATTTTTAATCCGGAGGAACAACAATTTAAATTAATTTACGATCACAGTTCGATTATTAATTAATAAATAATTTTATAGCACTCTTACATCTAATTATTAACTAACAACAATACACAGCGATTGGTAACAATTTTTTTACAACTTTTTTTACACAATTCTATCACTTCCTTTTCTTTGAATGGCATTAGAACGAATTTGACCTCTAAACGATGCTCTTGCGGAAGCTCTAAGCGAACTTCTCTTTCTGAAGTAAGGTGACACCGGTTTTATCTCTTCTTCTTTCCTAAAATGTATCAATAAAGTTGTTAATTAATTCACATCTATTTTTTTGTTAAATTTTAACTCACTTTCTTGTGCAGGGGAATTCAAGGAATTTCTGATCAAGTCCAAAGTTTTCCCCATCTTGTAAATTTTGTGGTAATTCATGACCTAATGTTTCTGGCAAAAAAAGTGCTAAGATTCCACCAATAATTCCGATTCCACCAAGGATTAATAAAGGAAATGATGGGGAAATATTGGCCTAGAAAGAAAAAAAGATCTTAATAAAACACTTTAATTGAAATAAATTCTTATAAGGTGTTAATAAAGTTCTCGTAGGTAATTGAAAGTTACTTGGCGGATAACAGCAACAAACCTGTGAGCATCATGCGATGTATTAAAGTGATATATCACTGAATTAAGAGGAAAATTTCCTATTAATTCAAAATGGTCACAGAGTTTTGTCCGTATTATATAAGAAAGTTATGACGGCGTAAACATTTACACATGGTTATTATACGCGGATTTTGCAGTTTTTGGGGGAATATGCTTGTATAACCATGCGATCTAATAAAGTTATATACCACTGTATAGAGCAGAAAATTTCCTATGTATTCTATATGATCACGGAGTTTTGTCCTAATCATATAAGAAAGTTATGACGCCGTAAACATTTACATATGCAATTATACGCGGTTTTTGTAGTTTTTTTGGGGGAAATGCTTGTGCAAGCATGCGATCTACTAAAGTTATATAGCACTGCATAGAGCGGAAAATTTACTATTAATTTTATATGGTCACGGAGTTTCATCCGTATCATATAAAAAAGTTATGATGCCGTAAACATTTACATATGCAATTATACGCGGTTTTTGTAGTTTTTTTGGGGGGAAATGCTGTGCAACCATGCGATCTAATAAAGTTATATACCACTGCATAGAGCAGAAAATTTCCTATATATTCTATATGATCACAGAGTTTTGTCCGAATCATATAAGAAAGTTATGACGCCGTAAACATTTACATATGCAATTATACGTGGTTNTCGGGGTTACTTAAACAATGCATAATTAATAAAAATAATAAAATCTTTATAACATAGCAGTTACGGCTATTTAAAAATTTGTTAAAACGCTCAAACGGTGGTGTTTGTTTATTGAGAACCGCTGATACCATGTTTTTATTGCTGCCAATCCAGTTGATTTGGTTACTTAGCAACGGACAAGTATTTTAATTATTCTTTACTGAATATCAGCGGTTCTCAAAAATGGACGTTAAATTATTTAAAAAATTAACATGCGATATCTATGTAACTATTAAGTTTTTAACAAAACATTATTAAGAAAATCTCTTCAGTTTTACCTCCAGTACCTACTCTTTTAGTCTGCTCCGTATGTTATAAATCACCCTGTATATGCAATTATACGCGGTTTTTATAGTTTTTTTGGGGGAAATGCTTGTGCAAGCATGCGATCTACTAAAGTTATATACCATTCTATAGAGCGGAAAATTTCCTATAAGTTCTATATGGCCTCGAAGTTTTACCCGTATCATATAAGAAAGTTATTATCCCGAAAGTGATTTAATGTGCTTCAAATAATGCGCCGGTGAAGCTGTTTTTACAAAAAAAAATGGTTTTAGAATCTCGTATTCCATTTTTTTATGCACCAATAGAAAGAGCACAAAATTTCCTATATGATTGATACTGCTTTAGCTTTTTGTTAAAACCAAATAAAAAGTTGCATTAATCAACCAATTCTATGTGTAGGGTTGTTTATTAGGCATGTTTTTTGACCGACGGCAATAAATATTGAAAAGCTGCACACGGGCTTGAACTTTGATAATTTTGAGGTATATTCGGTACACAGCGACGTATTTTTTTCCGCTGTTGATATATATAAGATATTACTTAGATGAAGAAAAGATTAGTATTTTTAGTGGTGTATTTAATATTCCACTATCTCTAAAGACAGCGACGATATCAGCTTATAAAGTAGGTGGAAAACCAACGGTTAAAGTTTGTTGCTATTATTGTGATTTGCATTATTAATTTCTAACATTTTTATTTAAGCACGCTCTAGTTTTACAAGATGACATTGACAAATTGAAGCAAAAAATAAAATAAAACTTACCAAGTAAACAATGAAAGGTGCTAAAATACTAGATACATATCCCATAATATGAATTAGAGCTACTCCTTGTGCTCTAACAACTGTAGGTAATAATTCAGCGGCATATTGAAGACCGATATTATAAGAAATATTAACAGCGAATCTTCCAATAATGGCAAAAGTAGCTGAAGGAATACCTAGAATAATAATTAAAAAATTGATTAATATTGACAACGTCATAATTAGAAATTAAATTTGCAAAATTAACAAGTAATTTTAATCTTTTAAAACAAACCGTTCATAACAATGCGTAACACTAGGAGTTATAAAAATAAATGTGAAAACCTCTGGAAAAAATGTATTTTCTTACATAAATTTCCAAGATACTTTCAGGTATCTAATTTTGGGTAATTAAATAAATTAAAATGTGAGTTGATTTTATCAGATACAAATGTATTTGGAGTTGTTGGCCAAAGTGTTCCCGCGAAGAGTTAAATTATGCCATATCGGTCGAACAATAAGAGGAAGAAAAATAGATATGATTATCATAGCGAAAAATTTGAAAAATAAAAAGTACGCCGTTCTTATCGATGGTGGAATTCACGCGAGAGAATGGATAACAGTAACGTCTGCTTTATATTTTATTAATCATTTAATAAAAAGTCCAAAACTTTTATCTTTTATGGATTTTTATATTATACCATGCCTTAATCCGGACGGATATGAGTACACACATGTTTCGGTGAGTTGAAAATATTTTCTTTATTATACATTTTATTGATTTTTATTTAAAGAACCGTATGTGGAGGAAAAATTTAAACACAAATAAATCGACTTGTGTAAAGAAATTCGGAGTGGATTTAAACCGCAACTTTCCATTTAAATTCGGAGGTGTGTAATTTTGCACTCAACTTAGAGTTAGTAAACTTTAAATGATTTGCAGATCCGAAAGGAAGTAGCGGAAAACGGGAAAGTATGTGCTACCGAGGTGAATTCGCGCTTAGTGAACCAGAAACCTTAGCTTTAGCAACCATATTTAAAAACCTCAAAGATAAATTGAAACTTTACGTATCATTACACGCGTATGGAAATCTTATTATGTATCCATGGGGTTATAAAAATACTTCTCCTTGGGATAGATATGATTTAGTAATTTAATTTAATAAATTTAAATTTTTGGTTAATTTTTTTAATTGCAGTTTCGTTGTGGTCAGTTATGCAAACAAGCAATGTCAAGATGTGGAGTTGATAGAAAATTTAAAGTGGGCAATATAGCAAAATTTATGTGTAAGTAAGTTAATTATTTCTGATAAAGCGTCCGAAACATTTTTTGATGTAGATTTAACTTCTGGTTGTTCAGTTGATTATGCAAGAGGTGGGCACGATGTAAAATTTTCTTTTACAATCGAATTGGATAAAGGTGGATCAACTGGTTTTAATCCACAACCAAGCAAGATTTTAGAAATCGGTTCCGAATTAACTAACGGTATTGGAGCTATGGTAAGATACGTACATAAATACTATGCGATTAGAGATGGCCGACGTGCTCATTGTAATAGAGAACATTTTGTAATGTAATGGTTGAAAATAAAGTTTTTTTTAAATCAGTACTAAAATGACTTGTATAACAAATGTCCATACTCAAATTTATGCAATTGTCAGCAACTAAGCATACAAAGACTCCAAAGACACAGATACCACTTTTAATAGTAACCTCACTCGGAGAATTAATACAAAAGACGTGTTCATAAACATACTGCTGTTTTATGATATTTTAAATTTCGTGTAATTTGTATCAATTACCATGGTATGTAACCAAAATATATCAAATACTAATATGACGTAGAAAAACGTCTGCTCTACACTGAAACGTTTCCATGTTGCTAAATGTACTATCCATGCCAAAAGTAAAGACCCCTCAATTTAGAGATCGATATCTTCCCAATCATGCGATAAAAGAAATGGCGGTAAAGTTTGTTGTAATCACTGAACATTATTTCTATGTAACATGTCTGAATTTGCAAATTTTGGCTTTTACGGTTTTCTTTTTATCGCGAATTAAATGAAAAAAGTACCTGATTAAGTAGTGTGGGTTGTTTTTGAAGCTTAATCTTCTATCTCACTCAAATTCCAATATATTTAAGTGTTCCTCATCTCATTACCAGTCAAAAAAATTCCGAACTATAAATTCCAAAAATTCAAAAAACTCCCCCTGAAAGCCACAGTATAACATAGAAGCGACAGCAAGGATTAATACCACATAAAAAGCAACCATTTTTGAGGTTAGCACTTATGACTGACGACACACTATGTCTTGTTAATTTTCTGATTGAAAATTTGTATTTATTTGAAGTGTATATTTCACTAATACCGAAAAAAATTAGTAAACCGCATGCTAAGTTAATTAACAAACAATTTAAGACTCTCTAAGACTATGTGGAGAGGAATAAATAAGCTGACGTCAACTCCCAATAAAAAGCACAATGTTTTGCAGGAAAGAAAAATTACATTTTTTTTAATTGTAATGAAGCTTGGTAAGAAGTACGAAAAGTAGAGAAAGTTTTAATTAAATGAAATTGGTCATTAAGAGAAATAGCATTTGCTGCAAAATTGTTTGATTAAACAACGGATATATTTGAAGAATGATTTGAGGAATACCAAGAATAAAAGAAGGTTTCTTTGCAGTTCCAGAAACGAATAGCTTATGGAAAATCCAATTGGACGGTTAAAAACTGTACGGTGACATCATTTTTTAGAACTAAAATGAGTAGATTAAAGCTTTTTCGGTTATCTAAGAATTCATCTTTACCATTTAACTTCAGCAAGTACTGAAAGGAACGTCATATTACTAGTAAAATTACTTACAAAGAAGCTTCTTCAAATATGAAGGAGATACAATAACAGAATAAAGGATCCAAAATATTTTGGAGTTATTTCAAAATATTATTCATTAAAATATCAAAATTAATTTTAATACTTGATGTGTTAATCATATTTACACTTATTTTAGCTGATTTTGATAATGCTACAGAAAGTAAGAAGCATGTTTCAGAAGAGTTGCACCACTTTCCATAAAGATAAAAATTTATGAGGAAGCAGAAATGTGAAAATGTCCTAGAAGTTTAGGTAAATTGCCAAGAATTTGTTATTTTTAAGTTTATCACCTTTTCAGTTTTTATATTAAAAGTTATCAAAAGTTACATATGATGTTCATGTTGCTGCAAAAGGAGCACGGCTTTTGTGTTACTGGATTTTCCTACAACATTGAAGTCTCAGAAACCAGAAACTTATAAACCATAACAGAAGATCTAACTCATTTTTCATTGATTTCCGGGTTCTTTAAGATTCAGACATTGACTCAATTATGCATAAAATCATTTCTAAGTCGATTACACACAACTCTATTTGGCCATATGGACACTATAATTCTAACCCTGCTTTAGCAACCGCCTTTAGATGATATATATTTCACAACTACTAATGGATGGATAAATAAATATATTGCAAACTCTTACATCTTATTCGGCTGCTGTTTTTAGATGGTTGAGCTATTTGAACAAGATCTTGGACAATTAGCGAAAACTTGATGACTGCGCCATTAGAATCTCTAAGAAGTTTTACAAGTACTATTCCTTCAACCAGAAATCTGGGTTTGATCGGTAATAGAGACCAAGACAGTGAACGCACAGAATAACCAGAAGTGACACTGGCAGTATCCCGCCAAATCTTTACCACCAATAGCAACATACCTTGGCAACTCGCTATATTTGGCGCCAGATTTGGCGGGTGTCACTTCTGGTTATTCTGTGGTTCGTCATTGAAACAGTACATGCTATTAAAACTGATAAAAGTTTTGTTCAAAAGATGGAAACTGTGTCTGCTTTGACTGCCACAACACGGTGACATTCGAAGTTTATGTCTGAAAGGATGAAAAATATGCATGAGTTTGTATTTGGAGAAATGTATTGATCAAACGACTCTTGACTAAAAAACTTGTCGAATTCAGAACTATTGTTCACCCCTACAAGGAATTTACAAGTACAGACGACAATTCTAGAAAAATAACTAAAGTAGAGAATACAACTAAGCTTTATTTCTATTTATTTTGCAATGCATTTTTTTCAAGTATTATTAGTCATTAATGTGTTTTTGTTTTTATTTACTTCTATAAAAAATAAATAAGACAAAATACCAGAGTTGCATTAATTTTGAAATAGGGCTGTTTCTGGATAAATCATATCCTTTATGGTCAACTTGGATACTTTACTTTACATGAACTATCCTGGTAATACTTTGAACGCTGTATAAAAACTAGAACCTGGACTAATTCAAGGTTTTATACTAAATCTCAATACATATTTTCTAATAATTCCTTTTTTAGGAAAACACAAACTAAGTAACTTTACAATTGGAATTGATGAAGTTGGGTTGAAAATATCTCAAGAAGTAAAAAGTTTAGGAGATGAAAATCTAAATTCTATGAATAAGTCCATGTGAAATAAATAATTATTTTATTATATTTACCGTAAGGTACAGTTGTAGCCAATATACTAAAGATTCCACTCAAAACCATTGTTCCAAACGCCAACCATCTTCTTCCCCAAACATCCAAAATAACGGTAAGTAAAGTATCAGCTGGAAACTCCGTTATTGATGCAATTGTGAATGTTAAGAAAATATCCAATCCTAAAGATCCAACGTTTCTCACATGACCATCAAAAGTTAAAGAAATGGCCATCCAAATAACAATTAAAAGCAATGTAACTTTTCTCAATCTGGGCGTTTTAAATAAATCCAAAACTGAATAGTTTTTAGAGTTTTCTTCTTCTTTTAAAGCAGCGTTACAACCATCTTCGAATTTTTTGTAAATTTCTTCTTTGATGTCAACTTTATTAATTCTTTGAAATTTTCTTAAAATATCAATAGCCTTATTAATTTTACCTTGAGAAGCTAACCATCTACAAATAATAAAAATGTTATTTATATATTTTTAAATTTATATTATTTACCTTGCTGATTCTGGTACAAACCAAGGTGTTAATAATGCCAATGCAAGAGGTGCCGATGTAACAATAGATAAAAGTTTCCAATCGGCTAAAGCTAAGGCCATCCAAGGTAAAATACAAGCAGCAAATGTAAAGAAAATTGCAATTGACATATTCGCAACGAATGTTCTCCACTTTGGTCCAACATATTCCAGCACTAAAATCGTATAAATAAATTAATGTAATTAAAGTTTATTGATTAATTAAAAGAATTCAAACTGATTGGTTATTGAAAGCAAAAAGAAATATTGACGTGAAACCTTGGTGTACATTTCAGAATTTATTTCAAAAATAATATATAAAATTAATGATATTTAAATAAGTTAATTAAAGTTGTAAACTAGTTGAGTACTAGTACTCAATAAATTTTCAACGAGTTATTTCAACCGTCACATTATGTGACAAGCTCGTTTCGTTGCAAATAACTCCTTGAGTTAGAAACAAAGAAAAATTCATGTTCAGCATTTCAAATCGAATACATTTCCAATTAAGCTATCACACATAAGACATACTTGAATCTTGAATAAAATCGAATGGAAACGGTCCTTGATATAATCGAACCATTCCAATCTATATTACTTTTCCATTTACTACCAATTCAATTTAAATCAGATTAAGTGAGTTGAGGTCAAATAAAGATTCACGATTAAAATTTACTCACCCAAAATATACATCATTGTAAAACAATTATCGAAAGCCATTCCAACCAAAAATCTGCAAACGCAAAATGACCAAAATGTTGTACAAAATGCGGTTGCAACTCCACCAATTAAACCGACGATATTTGTTCCGACTAATGATGGTATTCTACCATATCTATCTGCTATCCAGCCGAAAACTAATCCGCCTAAAATGGCACCGCAAAAAAATATTGCTTGAGCTATCGTTGGTAAAGTTGAATTTTCACAAACCCAATCCAACTAAAATTAATTATAAATAAATATTTTGAATAAATAATCATAAGATCTTACATCTGTAGCTATAGTATTGTATGGCACATCAGTAAAATTATATTCCCAACCATGCAAACATGGTATTGTCGGCCATTCCTTATTGGGTTGTTTAGTTCCGTTAAGAAGAATTTCAGTAAAATTAACAGCGTACATTGAACACTTTACGAAACCTTCATCCGTTTGTGGAATAGCCAAAACTTTTCTAAAACACAAAATATGTATTAATAAACATTTATTTTAATAAATTTAAATAATTCTAAATATATTATTAAAGTTTTTTTTTAAATTATTGGATTAAGTAGCTTTTACGCTTTTAAATAATTAACCTTGCTCCAGCTGATCACAAACCGTATTAAACGATATCCATATAAATTTAAAACAATTCCCTGGTTACAATTGCAAAACTAACCGCATAAACTTTTATTACCTTCAATATAAGAAGTTTAAACAAAGGAATTTATTGTAAACGAGTTAAGAATTAAAAACTAACCAAGATTTAATCCGAACACACAATTTAATCTGGCGCTTACAAGTTTTGCAATAAATCAAAAATGTTTTAAAGAAAGAATTGCTGACGGTTGCGTGTTAAAACTAGTTCGTGAACTTGCAATTTGACCCTGTGCCGGGTCATTAAGAGGGTATTTTTCGTTCTTAAATCAAACATAATTAACACTCGGGGAAAGAAACGTTATGAAATGAACGGTTTAGTTGCGAAAAGAGATTTAAAAATATTAATAGAGTAAAATCTCGATATAACGGTTAATATAGGGAGTATATTGGTTATAGCCATAAGTTCGTTAATGAAAAATTTTTAATTTGCACTTTAAACAGTTTGAATGAATAATTTTAATGCACATAAAGTCGATTAGCTATCCACACCGTTGCGTTCTTTATTAGTTAGTTCAATAAAAACATACAACAATTTAGGGTTGAATAACAACTAAAAGTAGAAGCACTAGAACTAACACTAGATTTAGAACTAGAAACATTCGGGTTTAGCCGTCTTAATAGACTTAGGGCTAAACCCGAATGTTTCTAGTTCTAGGTCTAGTGTTAGTTCTACATTTAATTTAATAAAAATATACAACAATCTAGCACTGAATAACAACTAAAACTAGAACCAACACTAGACTTAGAATGTTTCCAGTTCCCGAATGTTTCTAGTTCTAGGTCTAGTGTTAGTTCTACATTTAATTTAATAAAAATATACAACAATCTAGCACTGAATAACAACTAAAACTAGAACTAACACTAGACCTAGAACTAGAAACATTCGGGTTTAGCCTTGCGTCTGAGGACGTCTGAGGACGCACGTCTAAACCCGAAACTTTCTAGTTCTAGGTCTAGTGTTAGTTCTAGTTTTAGATCAATGAATAATATACAACAATCTAACGCTGAATAACAACTAAAACAAGAACTAACACTAGCATTAGAACTAACACTAGACCTAGTACTAGAATCATTCAGATTTAGCCGTCTTAAAAGACGTACGGCTAAACCCGAATATTTCTAGTTCTAGGTCTAGTGTTAGTTCTACTTTTAGTTCAACAAAAATATAGAACAATCTAACGCTGAATAACAATTAAAACTAAAACCACCGTTCTTGATTTATACATCGTATAAACACCTCGGGGAATACCCCGAGTTTATCTATGAACATGGTATAAAGCAACTTGGGAATAACCCGAGTTGAATTCATATCTACGAGCTCAAACATTTATATTTGAATATACTGATGTATTAAGTAGATAATATTAATAGTATAACTTAAAAATATTTTGCCTTTAATGAGATCCGTTATATCGAGGTTTTACTGTACATAAATGTGACATTTTCTATTTAAATCATTACAAATCAGTTCATAATTATCTGTTGCATTATTTATTTATTCTTGGATATTAGAATTTTATCTCGTAACATTCAATTTTTCTCTTTTTTACAATTGAAGAAAAAACATCCATAAATCAATGTTATTTATGCACTTAAAATATGTATGTTGGAGGACTTTATTATTTAAAAGTAATTTTTTTTGTACTTTCTTATTTTTTTTTGTAACGTTCACCATCGGCCTTGCACGTTCTCGTTAAAACAAGAAGCCAACAAAGATATTTTGCGGAATTTCAAAGTGCAACGCACTTATATGGTGCAAAGAAAATAAACAATTAACCGTGTAAATGAAACCACTGAAAAGTATGACATAAATATTTTATTAGCTACTTTATATGAGTTATTAAGTTTGTTCTCGAAGTGTTAACATGCAAATTTGAAAAAAAATTAGAAATAAAGGCGGTGTTGTAAGTAAACCGGGTTTTGTTGAAACAAATCGGCGAAGTGAAACGGATTTTAATCTGAGTTGTTTAAAATTTATCAATGAGGTTAAAATTTTGTATTTAGAAAAGTAATATTTCATGGTCGATTAAATGTTTTTTGGAATATTCTGTTGCCGACGATTATTTCGACAGTTTTATACGGATGTAGATCCGGGTTGATAAATCCCTCATAAATTTTCAATATTAATTAAAATTTAAAGCCGCCACAGCTTCAAATTTACAATTCAATTAAATAATTTTTGGTGAATTATCTTCAGTCACGTCATCTCAAATCGATCGCACTTTAAGATATCAAACAAACAAAAGTAAAATAAGAGGAAATAATAAAACAGTTGATCTCTAAAACTTAAAAATATTTGCTGCTTATTTTATAACGATTTATAACGATTTATTAAAACCCTAATTTATTATATTCTTTTAATACGACTGTCGTATGCTCTAAAAAATGTATAAAAATATTATTCTCTTTAAATATTTTTTTCTTAGAAACTAATTTTTAAAAACGGTGTTTTATTAAAAAGTTGAGAATTTTCTAAAGTTGCAAAACTATACCTTAACTAATTGATTTTTTATAATTTTTTTAGCACGATTAAATGTTAATTTAATCCTTAATAACGACCAAAAATTGTTTGGTACTAACAAGTGAAATCTTAAGAACTTAAAGATATTGTTAAAATCACTCTTTTTCATTAAACAACTTGTTATTTTATTATATTTTCGCGATTGTGGGATATAATACATCTCTAAATGTAATTTATCTTTATCATGTAATTAATTATTCCAGACCTATAAACAAGATCTCAAGTTCTTTGATCACAAATAACTCAGATAGTTATATAAATCATGAAAACATTCCAGTAGATTTATCAAGCCACAATCTTATTCAATGTGATATTACCTCTGCGCAGAATTTACTATACAGACGAGATGAATATGGTTAATAAGAATTTATGGATAATCCATATTTGTAAACAAGAGTTACTCAAATACACGAAATCTCTTGTGCCATAATCAATTAGAAATCGTTGGAAATCAACCCACATTAAATTTTTGAGTACTAAATTCTGACTTTCGTATTTTTTATAATACTTAAGAAATTTTAGTACCATCACAATACGTCTAGAAAATAAAGTATACTTGAATATAATATTTTCAATTGATAATTAGCTTCTAATACTCTCGGTGTATATCCCCAATAGAGATAAAGAGGTGAATCTTAATATTTGATATTTTTAAAAGGAAAAATAGGACGTATGTTCTCCAGAACTAAAGACTGCAGCATCTTTTAACTACACTGAATAATTCGAATAGACCCTCTGGTAAGAGTAATAATTTTTGAATTTTTCAAAAAACCATTGCAACCTCTACAGCGTCTTTATAATTCGAGTAAGCTTTTTTGTACACTTTTTGCCTATCGACAACCCCAAATTTGCCGTAGACAGAGAAATAAATTTTTAATTTAAATGTAGAAATCATAATCTATGTTTTTTACAGCATTTATTTTCTTCAGACTCAAAAACTGCAGCATCCTAAGATTTCCCTAGATAATTTCCAGTAGGACTTCTACTACTCGGTATTGAGGGTGCACATAGACCCCCATATTTGGCATAGGTACAAAAGTGTATATTTTGGAATTTACTATTTCAATAGTAAACATAGAATTTATTATCTCAAGAACTAGAAACTGCACATTCTGGAGTACTTAATATAATTCAAGCAGACCCTCTAGTTCATTTCTTGCTATAAATACCCCCAGATTTGTCGTAAGGCGGAGGAGTATATTTTTTGATTTCCGTGACTTTTACCAGGCCATAGAAAATACAAGTTTACGCTAGCTATACATTTTTCCCACCTGCCTGACGCTTTGTGTATGCAACGCCTAAAAACTGTTATTCTTTTGAAGTAAATCAAAGTAATCTAGCCATTTCTGCAAGAACCGAAGTGCTGTTCAGCAAGTGCGTATCCCATCAATGCAAATAAATAGAGATCGTACGAAGCCAAGTCTGGTGAGTAAGCAGCATGCGAAACTATTTTTTCAACGAAATACTTCAATCGTTTCCTTGATCAGTTTTGCGATGTATACATTATCTTGTCAAAAATTTTAAAAACCTAACGAATCAGGTTTCAGCAGCTCACAATAGGTCCTGCTGATCCCACTACACACAGAGTTTTCCGTACATAGCGATTTGGCCTCGCCAGCCACAATTCGATGGAATTTCGCAAGTGGTTTTCTGATTTTTCTGCTGTTTTTCATTCAGTTCATGTTGAACGTATTTTCTCATCTTCTGAATTCTTCCCACGGCTTTCAAACGTATGGAGACGACTTCTTATGTCACATACAATCGATCCGTGAGTTATTGTTGCGCTTGAGCGCCATCTCATCCAGCAATTCTTCCAATTCTCTGTGTTAACTAACGCAATTATAAACTATGCTCTTCTATGAAACTTATATGTTATGAGTTACAGATTTGTGTCATATGCCAACGAATGCAAATGGTGCCAATGACAGCTAGGGCCATCTATGGGCAAATGCCAGCTTTATATTTACACACCATCTACCAATATAGTAGATGAACCATTGAATGTTTGCCACCATTGTTCTCTATCTCTTACTTCTCTCTTCTAATTCCTGCATCCTAGGATTCTTTTTGTCAACATCAACATCAACCCTTGCATTTTTCTGTTTATTAGCATTCTAGGAAGCCATTTTTCTTTCATCCTCAAAATATAACCCGCCCATTGTAGTCTCAGGATTCTGATATAATTGGATAAATCTGATATCTGGAGTTGATGGTATAATTCATAATTATGTCGACGTCTCCACTCATTGTTTGGACTCTTCTCTTTCTTCAATTGGGACTAAAAATGTCCT